TGTGTGTGTGTGTGTGTGTGTGTGTGTGTGTGTGTGTGTGTGTGTGTAAGCAATGTAAGCTGTTTCTGACTGGGAGACAATGAGATACAACTTCCCCCCTCTATTTTAAAAAATATGGCCTTTTCTGCATAGCTTTTTAATTGCTGAAAGAAGCATCCAGTGAAGACACAGGGGTTAGGGTTAGGGTTAGGGTTAGATAATTAAAAAAACTTGTAGTAGGTGATTTTGAACTGAAGAATATGAAATTAAACAATATTTGTCTACAGGCATTTCTTCCATTGCATAAGAAAATTAAGAAATGTGCACAGAGAAGAAGGAAGATAGTTGCAAAGAAAATGACAGATTTCAGTTGTTCAGAGGGTCATTTCAGTGTTCAGAATCACTCTAGATCAGGTGTTTCCTTTGGCTTACTTGACTGAAGAAGATTTTTCTTGGGCCACTTATAAAATATATAATATATTTCGTGTATATAAATAAAAGCTCCCTTTATTTTATATTTTTTTATTATGATCTTGTGGTGACACATTACTAGCTAACCAGGGCTGCATATGACCACGGGTCATGAGATGGAGATACCTGTTCTAGATGAAAAATTCTGCCATTGTACTCCCGATATGGGATCGAAGTAGGGAGAGCAATATAGAAAGAGAACAACAGTCAGTCAAATGCATGACATTATTATGGTCAATTGATAAACAGTTATGCCAAACCTTCTACTTTCTCTGATTGAAGATTAAATGTGGTCACTTCAGGATGTGTAAAAATTAGTTTTAGTCAAAATGGCCCCTGGATTCTTTTTGCGCGAAATTCCAAAATTAAATTGATAATCACTATTTCCTCCATAATCTTATACATAATGTAAAAAATGATACTTAACTGATAAATCTTGAAGGTTAGTTACTGATACATACTGAAAGAAACATTGCACGATTTTCTCTTTATTCTCAAGATTATGATAAATGTGGGATCAAATCAGCTGTTACAATTTTTTTGGTACAGCATGAGTTCCTTTTCTCATTACTGTTGAGATGTAACCATGGACAGCTTGGGTTACCAAGGCTCATTTCCCAGCTGAGCAGTCCAATTGATGAGGAACAATTGACACTGTGTGTGTGGGCACATGAAAAAGCAGAATGTTGGAATAATAGCTCCATTCTTTAGTCAAGTATTATGAGGCATTTATTATCCTCCTTTTTTCATTTGCTGAGTTCTCTTTTAGAGAACTATTATGGAACATTTTTAACATTTTTCTTCATTTATTTGTTTTTCTGTTGAACATTATGCTTTTGCTTATCGAATCTAGAAAGCTTAATTCTGCAGTTATGACCTAACAATGCTAACCTAGTGGTGCCAAATCTATCCTTGGGAGTCAGAGTGAGCCTCTGGATTACAATCTGAAGAAAGCTAGGAAGGACCTTGAGAACAGGACTGAAGAATAAGTCAGTAAATTATTGGAAATAAAGGAATGATATTCAATCTATGATTGTTCTCCTAAATTTTACAGAAAAATGTTGGCATGTGGGGGAGTTTAAAGAAATCAGTTTTGGGAGCTCCGTAAAATAATGGTAGGTACAGAAATCTTTTGCTTCTGCTACTTCATTTGAGGATCCCTTCCATTTTTTTCTTACAAAACAATATCTAGGACTTATTGACAATTCTTATATTGTAAGGGTTGATATATGTGCTCAAAGACGTGTCTTTCCTGTAAAATTTCAACTTCCCTGATAAGTCACTGAATGATTAAATATTTAGAATCATGGTTTAGGACTCCGAGGCTTAGGTTCTAACCTAGTCTTATCCTGAGTTGTTGAATATTTTCTAATTGCAGATGATCATCTTTTACTGCATACTTCAAATAGATTGGGTTTAGCCCTTTAAAAAACACGCATATAAATAGCATTGACAAATTTGCAATGCTAAATTAAATAAATGCAGCAAAATTAAATAAATTGATAGTTTTAACTGTTCAGTTGTGTCCAACTCTTGATAACTTTATAGGTGAGTGCTCTTCATGCTGGTATGTCAAGCACAGCTTCTTTTAGTGATTGAATTTCATCTTTGAATCAGATATGATGGGATCAAGCCAGTGAGTTCTTTGCTAGCCCTTTTTTCTTGATCCACTAACCATTCCTAGCATCGTTGACTTCTCCAATGAATTTGCATGCATGACTTGGCCAAAGTAAATCAGATGTAGTCTTGTGATTTTGGCTTCCGGTGCTGTTTCTGGTTTTATATGATTCAGCACCTCTCTTTTGGTTGTTCTGGCTGTCCACGGTATATTGAATAATTTACTCAGCATCACAGTTCAAAGGTGTTAATTCTTCTTCGATCAGCAGTTCTTACTGTACAACTTTCATATCCATAAATCATTATAGGGAAGACTATTGCTTTAAGTAGCCTGCTTTTTGTACTTATATCAGTATTTCTGCTGTTCTATATCTTATTCATGTTAACCATTGCAGTGCAGTCTAAGATTAGCCTGCACTTGATTTCAGGTGTAAAATTACCATTGTGAACAATTTTTGATCCAAGGAAGATAAATTCTCAAACTATTTCTTGATTTTAAACATCTCATCTGCACCTGTTGTCATTATCTTTCTTTTCCTGAAGTTAAGACTCAGTCCTGCTTTTTCACTTTCATGCTTGATTTTCCAGATCATTTTTTCCAGGTCTTCTTTATTTTCACTCAATAATGTTGCATCATCATCTGCGTACCCAGGGGTGGGATTCAAATATTTCAACAACCAGTTCTGTGGGTGTGGCTTAGTTGGTGGACATGGCTTGGTGGTCATGTTATTGGCTGGATGTGGCCAACTCAACATCACTCACATCGAGGCACACATCTCCTCGTCTGGCCTCTCATGACTGTGGGGATGCTGCATCAGTCGTAAGTGTGAAAAATGGTCATAAGTCACTTTTTTCAGTGCCATTGTAACTTTGAATGGTCACTCCACACAACCAAAGTACCGGCAAAGGAGGGAAAAATAACTCCAGAGAAGTTCCTGAGATAGGAAGTCCTGCCAAGAATGTAATAAGGGTTAATGGTGAGGCAGTTTCTGTAAGCAACACCAGAATGTTTTCTTCTGCCTTCCTTACATGATTAGGCCAGTAATTTCTTTTAACAATCGGTTCTCCGAACTGCTTAGAATGTTAACAACCGGTTCTAGCAAATAGGTGCAAACTGGTAGAATCCCACCCCTGTGCGTACCTCAGATTATTTATGATTCTTCCTCCAATGTTCACTTCCAAATTAAGCAATTCTAGATCTAATTTCTGCATGATTACCTTAGCACACACGTCCCAAAGGTCCTTTTTCAAGAGGCAACTGGACTTTCTTGTTTTTCTTTGAAGACGTTTAGCTTCTCAACCAAGAAGCTTCTTTAACTCTGACCAGAAAGTCCAGCTGCCTCTTAAATAACCATGACTTGGATGACTGAGAATCTCCATGGACCTCATCATACAGATTGAACAAAAATGGTGATAAAATATATCCCTGTCTGACTTCACTTACTGATCCTGAACTTCACTTACTGATCCTGATCCTGTTTCTGCATAGCGTGTTCTCACTATTACCTGCCTTAGTTGGGACACCAAGATCACACAAAGCCACCCATAGCTTATTGTGTTCTATATAGTCAAAAGCTTTTCTGTAATAGATAAAACACCATATAGACCCTTTTGATATTTGTGTGCCTTTTCCATAATCCATTGGCAAAGTGATCTCGTGTACTACACCCCTTTCTAAAGCCAGCTTGTACATAAGAAAATTCTTGATCAATTTCTTACAAAGTAGTTCACCATTACTTTCCCTAAACCTTCCCATTTATCCAGGCTTGGGATGATGATGAATCAACCATATGGCTGGCTTAACAAATTAATAAAAATACATAAATTGACACTGATGTATTTGTCCCTAATTCCCTTTCTCTTTGACTTATGTACAATTCATGGCACTACTGCTTACTTACAGTAAGAAGCAAAACCAACTTTTATTTTTAAATCATCCCTCTTTTTTGCACTAATCTGATTCCTCAGATAAAAGCTGTATTTCATGGTGAACAGTTCAGGGTTAATCTTAAACAATACGGTGCGCAAGTCCTTCTCTCTCTTTGTCTTCCTCTCTCCCTGTAGGTTTTTCACTAG